TCTAATGGTTGTCAGTTATCTCCTGTTAATTCACCTCTCCAAGTTCTCCACTGCCTGAACCAGGTATTGAACTCACAACTATTTGGGTCCTGTCACTGGATCTAATTAACGCCTTTATCCACTGTGCCATGTGTCCTTAAGGGTCTAACTCTTTATTTGTTTACTTTCGATTTACTTGACACCAACCAGTGAGACAGGTTGTGACACGAGGTCGGTTTTTATCGTGGGGACTCGAGTATTTCCATTCGGGCCGCTGGTCTTGTCTAACCTGTTCATAGCCTGTCTAAGCTGGTCATAGCGGGTCGTATCACCGCTACGTAACAGATGTCACGCAAGGTAGTGGAAAGCCAGGGAAGAGAAGGCCCCCGGCACGGAACTGATATTACATCTGCATCATCCATCCCGAAAAAAATACCCACTTCTACTCCTTTGCCAATCCCTCCAGAAAAAATCCGGGTGGGTAAGCCCCCTCTAATTGTTTACTCTTTTTATTGACGATTCTCGGCGTTCGTATTTATGTATTTGGACGAGTCCACGTCCGCTTCTGGAGACATGTATTCATCTCCACAACATCTGTCTATATTTCATATCTAATAAATATGGCGACAAAGATGAGGACAATAGTCCGAATAATGTAAATAATCTCCACAACATTATTATAATTTAAATAATTTAAGAGGTTGAAGCCTTTATTTTAATAAACAAGGACCGTCCATTAATATGTTGTATGGTAAAATAATGAATATAAAATTAAAGAAAAAATACTCACAAATGCATTACCCTATTTATCAATGTTTCTCGCAGAACCCCTTACGACCTCTTGCTGAATCATTGATCGTTTGTTATCGGTATATCAACATCTTATGGGTCATTTAATGCCAAAATTTAATATTCTTGGGAGCTTTGAAGTAATAAAAATATGATATACGTTATTCTGCTTTCACAATCGAATACATGGTAGATGATACTCAGCTTTTGTGCATACATATGTCTGGGCGGACATAATTACTTAACGCTAATATGTGTATTTTTTTTTTAGTTTAAGAAATTGTAGGATATGGATTAATGCCATAAAAAATCTTTCAGGTTGGTTGTTTGGTTGATTTTTGTTTCGCGGCATATCAACATCTTTATGAGTCATTTAAAGACGAAATCAAAATAATTTGAAATTAAATTTGAAATTGTATGCCTTCAATTACAGATAAAATGTATTGATAGTCATTTTGCTATGAATATGTATTGTTGGTCCTTTTTACTATAAACGTATATTGTTGGTCCTTTTACTATGCAAATGTATTTTTATACTTTCACGGTGTTTTGTTTTTGCTTGGGTGTTAACTCTTTGCCCATAGCCAGGACCATAACAGATGCTATCTTCCCGGATCAGGGTGTACCTAAGAACAACAGTAATGAAGAGCTCCTCAAAACTTTCTCCCCATGAGAGGCCTTGCGCCGGATGTAGTTACTTCTTGCTGAACCCTAGGGTTTCAGGAAACACAAGTTGAGAAACACTGTATTAGAGGTTTATTCTCGCAATCAGATCGATTGGTCTGTTGTTTACCTGAACTAATCGCAAGGCGTAAAGTAGTTGCTAAGAAACAAGCAAAATTATATATATTTTTTAATGTGTTTGTCAAATCTAATTTACAGAATCGATTTTTGTGACTGTTTGTTGATTTGCGTCGTTTTCTTCAGGAATTGATTCTGTGGATTTACATTGGATTTAAAGCTAGAAATGATATTGTTTAATAATGGTAGGCGCCAGAATCGCTTCATTCTTGAATATTCTTGTAAAACATTTACACTTCTGAAGAGTTAAAGAAAACCAAACAACGACACGAAATTTTGATAAGATCGTGTTAATTTTGTATCGATTACAAATAATCAAATTTAACCTGAATAAAAATTCGATTATATTTCCCAGGGCTTCTACGGTCTATTTTGGTGACATAAAGCCCAACAGTCAATGAAGGACGAATTTTTATTTCTTTTTATTATGTATTCCTCATCGTATGACCTGTTATAAAATTTGACAATGCCAGAGGAGTTTTTTTTCTTATTCGTAATATAATTTAAAATACAACACTTCTCAAAATATTATATACTCCAGAGGAAACATTGATAGATTTCTAAAATATGCTCTTGATTTCATGTTTGCTAATTTGGTGTTTATTACTTATTAATTATCTACAAGCTTACGATCATATCACGCTGAAACACCCGTAGGATCACCGAAGTTAAGCAACATCGCTGAGGAATACCAGCTGCTGTAAGCTTGTATATACGGGTGGCGTAATGGATAATGGCTTGGAATGGTTAATTGGAAAGCCGAATTGCAATTCCAGTTGGTTTCATTATATTTACTGATGTGCAAATACCCTTTAGAAATGTATGGATCCACCTCTCCTCCCCTCAGCTACGGGTTAATTAGTAAGATATGTCTCACGAAGCCATTAGTTTCTTTAAAAAAGAAAAAATATTTTTAGAATCTAAAACGTAAAAGAGAGGATATATATAGTGTCCCAAAAGTCACAAAGGGATTTCAAAATTGAATAACTCGTTTATTTTTTTAGATAACACACAATAACATAGAATCGTACAGGGTATCCATAAAGTTTGTGTGCGCTTTAAAAGATTTATAACTTTATTTGTATTTGTGAGAGAAATAATCTGTAAAAAATGTTATAAAGTTTAATGTACCTAGTTTTAAGTATAGCTAAAATAACTAATGTGATTTCAGGCATTACTGTATATCAGTTGGCAAATGTTTTCCGTGAACTGCAAAATCGTATTACCCTTTGTATTGCTAATGATGGAGGACATGTGGAAACTTCAATAAAATTTCAATAAAACCTTAAAAGATATAGATTTACTTCTTTCTAATCCTTTTTACAAATTATTTCTATCGCAAATACAAATAAAGTTTTTTTTTTTAAAAGTTCACACGAATTTTATGGGCACCCTGTATAAAGTAGACATGGGAAGTAAATTTACACTAGTTAACGAAGATTACGTCTTGCAATGGCGTCCATTTTCAGTTTCGCACAAACATGCTCTTTGCAAGGGATTTTCTATCACGGTTTTCTATGTTTCAGGCTTTAGTCAGAATTGTGTCCTTCAGTTGTTGGAGAGTTTGTTCACATAAACCATTTCTTTGGGATAACCGCATAGGAAGAAGTCAGGGCTTGTCAAATCCGGGGAATGTGTTGGCCAGGTTATGATGCAACCGCGAGAAATTATTCTTTTCCCTAACATTTTCCTAAGAAGATAGATTGGTGCACTTGACGTGCGTGTTTTTGACCCACCTTGTACAGAAAAAGGTTGGTGCCTTTAAAAATTCGTTGAACTGATGCCTGAGAGATCCAATCATGTCTAAACCATCTTCGAGATTGTTATAGACAAGCGTATGGTTGCAAGCAAGAAATACGACAACAGCAGAAATAGATTTACATGATTTATTTCAACCGGAACGTGCGGATTTGGGACAGCTACCTTGTGGTATAGTTCATAAGCCGGCTTCGGATCTGGGTTGATCTCTCATAGTAGTTCACACTGGTTGACGCTGATGCTCCCCCTGCTGACTGCTGCTGACCGCTCATCCTGACCGTGACAGGTTTCTTCCCTGGCCTCCTGTTGACTGCCGTTGTACTTCCATGTGACCCTTTTTATGGCGTTTTTTTATGGCTTAACGGGCTCGAAAAACGACGCGAGTATAATTAGAAGGGAAGCATTTTTATTGGTTGAAAAATAGAAACACTTTAAAATATTTTATTTTTCGACCGGAACCTGCGCGTCAGGAACATGCATAAACGAAGATTTTTTCTTTTAAGCATTACGCCCCGAGCAAGGCGTGAAGCCACTAGGATGCAGGGGGTTACAGAAGATTTGGAGTGAGAGCAGATAGGAGAGATAGAAGAAAGGATGAGGAGAATGATAGTGGATAGATCAAGGTAACTGGAGGTGTCGATTGACATTACATTTGAATAGTTGGAGATTATAGCTCTCAGGGAAACAGTAATTGGGAAGGGTGTTCCACAGGCTAGAGGTGCGAGGTATGAAGCTATTGGAGTAGAAGAGACGGCTACATTTAAAAGTTTCTACAGTGTAAGGGTGAGAGCGGGATGTCAGCCTCGTAGGGCGCTTGAATTTAAGGAGTCTGGGGATCAGTGAAAGCAGCTCATCGGAGCAATTACCATGAAAGTATTTGTAGAAAAGACAGAGAGAGGCGACGGCGCGTCTGTGAGAGAGTGACTGCAGACGAGACGCCAATCAGGGCCAATTATATTAGATATCCGTCTCTGGATCTTGTCAAGAACTCCGAGGTAAACAGAAGGTGCCCCAGACCATATATATGGAAGCAATACTCCATGCAAGGGCGAATGGTTGATTTATATATTTGAAGTATCGATTCCGGGGAGAAAAATTTCCTGGCACGGCACAGAGAGCCAACTTTCCTCGCGGTGGAAGAAGCAATTAACTCAATGTATTCGTTCCATCTCTGGTCAGCAGTCACCGTGAGACCGAGCAGATGCAGGGAGTTGCTCTCAAGAAGTTGACTATCAGGCATTCTAATGGGGGGCAGGGAAGGATCTTTATGGTGATTAATAGAGAGTAGTTTAGTTTTTGAGGCGTTAAAGTTGACCCAGTCAATTCTTGCCCCAATTAACAACCGATTGGAGGCCCATTTCAAGACGCACGGCCAGGTTAGTTTTGTCAGCGACACAAGATTTGTTTTTGAGGCAGGAGTAAATTGTAGTGTCGTCAGCGTAGATCCCAACTTGGGAATCTATGGTCATTTTGTGACGGGGCCTTGTCCCGTTCACGTCCGGCTCTCCCGCGTGAGTATGTTAGTTTATTTGCCTGTAAATCAGCCGGGATATGTCTTATTTTATTTTCTAACAAGATGACGCGCTCTGATCATCATAGATTCTCTCCCTTGACTCCTCCCTTCCTTCGTGGAAGGACACTAACTGAACGGTAACACTCAAAACTTGGAAGGCATACGTCCACATCACGTTGAAACACCGGTTCCCGTACGATTATCGAAGTTAAGCAACGTTGAATTTGGTCAGTACCTAGATGGGTGACCGCTTGGGAATACCAGGTATTGTACGCTTGGATGTGCGGGTGGTGTAATGGAATTGTTAATCTGAGAGCCAAGTTTCAATTGCGGTTGGATTCGTTATATTCTCTTACGCGCAAATAATTCTTCGAGAAGGTATAAATCCACCTCTTTTCCCCAGCTATGGGTTAAATAGTAAGACTTTATCACTAAACTATTATTATCTGCCAAAAAAATTCATACAATCTAAAAAAGTTTTTTGGCTTTGAATAACATGCAAAGGGTTCAGAAGCCGTAGAAAACGAGTCGATATTTATATACATTCACAATAGTGTTCTTAACATTTTTTTTTGTTATTTTTACCACGTTTCGATCGTTGTGGCTTTCGACCTTCTTTAGGTTTTTGTTGGTCCAGGTTATCTTCAACGGAATCATTTATTCAATGCACGATTGTATGTTGTTATTGTTTCGCTGTCTATGTCTTGTTCTTTTTACTTTTTTTTTTTTTTTTTTTGTTAGCTCTGTTGAGTTGTTGCTCGTTCCGTTCAATGAACATTTAGTCAGCACCCCCCCATCTCATGTCACATTGGCTGGAACCATCTCTGTGAAGAGCTAGGTAATCGGACATTTAACCAAATGGACATTTAGCCAAAAATGTAGTGTCATACTTACATATATGTCACACTCTTTATTGTAATGTGCTACATATATTTATATTTATTTACTGTATTAATTTATAATTTTTCATTTTTTTGACAGGCTTTTTAAAAAAATCTATTTTGTATATATTATATTTTATTTCAAATATTACTGTAAGATGATAAGTATTTTGAGAAAAAGCACATTTTACTACATCAAAATTCTTAAGCTTTTACGATATGAAAGATCTTTTAATTTCGCTTTTATTTTTGTTTACTGTTGCCCCCCCCATAAAATGCCCAAGTGTCACTGAAAGCAGATGGTTACTGAATAAGGTTGTCGATAAGTGTTGAGCATGAGAGTTGAAACTAAGATTGTAGTGATCAGGGAAGCATTCTCTCGGGAGTTTGTTTCACAAACATTCTGTTCTTGAGATGTTGTCCAAATGAAAATTCTTTCTTAGTAATAGAATTTGAAATGCAAGAGGATGATGTCTACGTAGCATAGCGTGTTTTGGTACTCGAACGTTTTGGCCGACAGATATTTAACCGAATGGATATTTAGCTGAAAAGGTAGTGGCATACTTACATGTATGTCACACTCTTTAGTGTAATGTGCTACATATATTTATTTACTGAATTAATTTATAATTTTTCATTTTTTACAGGCCTTTTATAAATCTATTCTGTATATATTATATTTTATTTCAAATATTATTTAAGATGATAAGTATTTTGAGAAAAAGCACATTTTACTAAAGCAAAAATCTTAAGCTTTTACGATATGAATGATCTTTCAATTTCGCTTTTAATGATTATTATCTTAAAGGGATGAACTAGCTTTTATCTTACTGTTAAATACGGATTTAAATAATTAGTCGCTACTTTTTACCCCAAAACACTTAAATATTTTTTTAAATACTAATTTCAATAAACAAATATTGAAATAAGAAAACTTTTAACTTTAGATTCAGTAATTTAATAACTTGAAATTCATTAGTAATTATTAGTCCTATTCTACCTTATAATACTACTAATTAAAATATTTAAAGAATTGCTTGTTACTATTTTTACTTGTACTTTTTTAGTGAAATGTCCGTCGGCCAACTGTCCGGCTACGAACAGCTAGTCTCCTTAACTTGCCATCGACACAATTATATTTGGCATAACCAAATATTCCGCATTGATTACATGGATATATTTGATTTATAGACACATAAAGGGTTCAGTTCGACATTCCAACCACCTGAAGAAGGCCGGAGCGTACAACGCCGAAATATGGCGATAAAGATGAGGACAATAGTCCGAATAATGTAAATAATGTCTCATCTCAGAAATATAGGCAGACACAAAATAAACCGTGACCAATCTGTACGACTTTTTTTTTTATTTCAATGGTCTAAGGTCGACTACACATGGATAGAACTATATTAGACTTAACTTCGGATGGAGCCTCGTACCTATAAACCGCCAGTTCTCTTACCTTACCACTTAGCGACTCATCTGAGGCATTATCAAATATTGCGTATTGATTACATAGACATGGTTCTAAAATAGAACAAAAATGAACAGAAATAGAAAAAAAAAGAAATGTATGGACAGCCCACTTCAAATCACTTGGGATGAATCCTCGTACCTATGTGGTGTGATGTGGGGTCTGGTAAGACATAACACTTAACGACCGAATCAGTCGTGATAATAGTATTCAATACACAACTAGACGAGTCACTGCAAAGGTCTTCTTCGGTATTCACCCGAGACCTCTCCACGAGGCGGGATGTGGCACAAGGCCGTTTTTTTTACGTGGGACTTTCCGAGCCCGTATACCACGTATACACGGGGTTAAGTAGCTGTCCAAACGACACTCTGCCCTTGGGCATAGCCTCGTCTGGGTTCTTCTCCGCAGAGGCAAGCAGAGTTAACTGTAATCGTTAACTCTTTTGCGATGGTCTTCTTCGGTATTCACCCGAAACCTCCCCTCAAAGCGGCATGTGGCACAAGGCCGGCTTTTTCGTGGGGCGTTCCGGGCTCGTAAGTTCGGGCAAAATTGCCCGTAGACCACGTATACACGGGGTCGGATAGCTGTCTTCCTCCCCAGATGCGAGTCTGTCCGTCGGCATAGCCTCGTCTTGATTTCTCTTCGCCTGGAAGCAAGAGAGTCGACAAGCAGAATTAAATGTAATCGTTAACTCCTCTGTGATAGTCCTCTTCCGTATTTACGCGAGACCTCTCCACAAGATGTGGCACAAGGCCTGTTTTTACGTGGGGCGTTCCGAGCTCGTAACTTCGGGCAAAAATTGCCCGTATACTCCGTATACTCGGGGTTGGATAGCTGTCTACCTCCTCAGATGAGACTCTGTCCGTCAGCATAATCTCGTCTAGGTTCCTCTCCGCCCGCAGTCAGAGAGTCGACAAGCAATGTTAACTTTAATTGTTAACTTTTCTGCGATGGTCTACTTTCTATTCGAGACAATTACCCAGAACTACTTATCATGAATGGATCAGTCCATTCATAATAGTAAGGTGGTAACTGGCTTTTACCACAGCATTATCAACCGCCGGTCTACTTACCTTACCACTTAACTGCTCATATTAGACATGGTCTGATACTGGTTTTTAATTACATAGATATGGTTCTAAGATAGAATAAAAAATGGTGAGTACAAAATGAGAGATAAACACAGACCCCTTCAAGTCACTTCGGGTGGATCTTTGTACCTGTGAACCGCAAGTCCACTAACCTTGCCACTCAACAGCTTATATTAGGCATTATCTGATACTGGCTATTAATTACCTGCGAACGTCATTCAAAGATATATTTTTATTCTTGCGCCTGATGTCATTAGATGCTGAAAGAACTGGACAAGTGGACGTCAAATTAAGCGTGTTGACTTGACGTTAGGCGGACAGTGTCTTTCTTGTTCATTGGAATCACTAATCTGCGTATTATTAGCAATATTTCGCCGACCCGAGAGCATCAACAAAAACCCGATGAAAATTACCATCTGTCTCGCTCGTTTGTTGCTTGTCAATGATATCACAAATAACCGATTTATATTAGAGTCTTATTTTGTTACTTTTACAGCGAAACTTTTAAGATAACATGAGGCTCAACACCCCCGGGAGGCGGGCGTTCCCTTCAGGCAAGAAGGGCCGAGTTTCTTGCCCGGTGCCTGGGGCGTCCTCAAACGGTGAATTGCGGTGTGGCCTTTTTTTCTTTTTTTTTAAATCGGTTTCACCCCATGCAAGGCAGTAAAGCCACTAAGACACAACGGGTTACAGGGTGTGGGAGAATTAGAAACAGAAACATTAATAATGAGTGGGGAAGAGGAAAGAGTAATCAGGAGGACAGTAGATAGAAATTGACATTGTATTTAAATGTTTGTAGATTTTGTAGTTGACTGAAAAGCATGGAGCCGGAAAGGAGTTCCACAAGTGAGAAGTGCGAGAAAAGAAACTGTTAGCATAGAATTTACGATATCAGTCTATATCTCTGAGTTGAGGTATCATGATTACTTGCATTATTTACATTATTCAAACTGTTATCCTCATCTTCATTACCATATTCACAACGTTTCGGCCTCTATATATCTGAGATGAGGTATTATGGTTACTTGCATTATTTACATTATTCAAACTGTTATCCTCATATTCATTACTATAGTCACAACGTTTCGGCCTCTAGATCTCTGACATGAATATTATGATTACTTGCATTATTTACATTATTCAGAATGTTATCCTCATCTTTATTGCCATATTCACAAGGTTTCGAACGTTGTACGCTCCGGCCTTCTTCGGGTGATTGGAATTTCGAACCGAAGCCTTATTTATTTATTATTTAAAGTCACTGACTTGAGTGGCCCTGAAGCCTTGGCTGATTTTAAGAATCTTATTAAGATTCTTTTCGTCCCACATTAAGTTCTTTAGGTAACAAGACCATTACGCCATATCAATACATAACAAATAATAGACTATTCCGTTTTGATAGGAGGGAAAGACGGAAAAGATATATCAGATACACTACTTGGTTTCACTGAGAAAATGAAAAAAAGATAGAAGATATGAGTGTTTATGGTCTGTTCCAGTGAAATAGAAAAAGTTGTAAATTTCAAATCTTTTCATTTGTACCCCTTTACTTCTTAAAATAACGACCAGCATTCATATTTATGATTGTTATTGCAATAGTTTGTTAAAGTTGTTCAGCTCAAAATATTTAACGATACGATAGAAGAATTTCTAAGGATGTATTTTATTGTCGCTGAACTCGGCATGAGCTTATTCAATCATTAACTGAAGAATTAAAATTCATCAGAATTTAATATTTCTTTTGCTTTGTTTTTTTCTCCATAACCATTATGTGTAACATATGTTCCTCTATTTTGCACACTCAATATTTAACTCCGTAACAAT